ATACACACAACTTCTCTATCGACTATGCCTTCAAGAAGTAGAATGGTATGGCTTAGATTTGCTGGCGTTCCATTGAAAGCATGGAGTGAGAGATGTTTCACAGAGTTAGGAGCTTTATTGGGAGAGGTGATACTTGTTGATGAAGACACGAAGAGCAAATCGTTTTTAAGTGAAGGTAGAGTGTTGATTTTGAGTGATATGCAGAGCAAAATTGCTAATAGAATTGTTTTAATTGTGAATGGTGAGTCTTTTCCGATAGCAATGTCAGAGGAAGAATGGAGGATGGATCTGGACTGGTGGTTGGTCAGGGAACGATGAAATCCAGCAAGCTCGGAACCAGGTTCTAAATTTTCCGATGAATGAGGTCATGAGAAGCTAAAGTGCAACTTTGTCAATGTGTATGCTCCGTGTGATAGACAGACGAAGGCCTCGTTGTGGGTGGAACTAGGTGGTTTAATATTAGCTGACAGTGGTAGATGGCTTTTAACAGATGGCTTTTAGCAGGGGATTTTAATTCAGTTTGAAATTTGGCAGAAAAAAGGGGTTGAATGGGAGAAACTCAGGATATGGATGATTTTAATCAATTTGTTGAAGGTAATGGGTTAATTGATGTTAGCTTGTTGAATAGGAAGTTTACATGGTACACGACTGATGGAACTTCCATGAGTAGTCTTGATAGATTTTTGTTGTCTACATAGATGAGTTTATTGAGCACTGGGTGGATTCAAGTTGGAGTTAGAAGGTCAATTTCAGATCACTGTGCACTTATTTTGAACTCAAGAAATACATATTGGGGTCCAAAACCTTTTCGAGCAATTGATGCATGGCACTAACACTCAGATTTTCATGGTTTTGTGGAGGATAGATGGAGAGAGATGCAAATTGAAGGCTGGGCGGGTTACAAATGTCAACAGAAATTGAAGTTATTAAAGGAGGATCTTAAAAGATGGAATAAGGGGGTTTTTGGTAATGTGGAGGCTCAGGTTGATAAATTGTCGAAGCAGATTGAAATGTTGGACAAAAAAAGTGAGGAGGTAGAGTTGAATGAGACTGAGTTGATAATTAGAAGAGAATGTTTTCAGGAGATGTGAGATATTTTGAGGAAGAGGGAAGCAGTATGGAAACAAAAATCAAGGAATACTTGGGTTTGTCTTGGGGATGCTAATACCCATTTCTTTCATAGGAGTGTTCAGGCTAGGAGAGCACAGAATACAATATCAGGTGTCTTAGGTGAAGGTGGGTGGATTGAAAAGCCAGAGTTGGTTAAAATGGAGGCTGTACGGTATTTCAGTGAATTGTTTCAAAAGGATCAGTGGAACCGTCCATTAATGGGGGGATTCAGTTAAACAGAATATCAGTGCAAAAACGGGAGTAGCTGGAAAGGCCTTTTTCCATTGTAGAAATAGAAGATGGTCTCAAGAGTTGTGATGGATCAAAGGCACAAGGTCCGGATGATTTTAATTTTAATTTTATAAAGTTTATATGGCGCATTTTGAAGAATGATTTTGTGGTTTTTTTAAAGGACTTTCATCAGTATGAAAGGTTAGTGCGTGATTTAAATTCTTCATTTTTAGCATTAATATCAAAGAAATTAAATCCTGTACATTTCAAGGAGTATCAACCTATTTGTTTGATTGGGTGTTTGTATAAACTATTGACTAAAGTATTGACCAATTGATTGAAGACTGTAATGGCAAATTTAATTAGTGATTCACAATCAACTTTCGTTGGGGTTCGGCAATTGGCTAATAGTGTACTGTTGTTCAATGAGATTGTGGATGATGTGAAGCGGAGGAAACAATAGAATTTTATTTTTAAGGTTGATTTTGAGAAGGCATATGATTGTGTGGATTGGTCTTTCCTTGATTGAATAATGGACAGAATGGGGTTTGGGGTAAAGTGGAGGAAGTGGATCCATGATAAATCTCAACAATTGAAAGTAGAGAGATGAATGATTGAGATTTTATATAAATATGATATGTAAATTTTGTATATAAGTGGATTCCTTCTCACATTTATATCTACTTACACATTATATTTGTTAAGGAAACACAGGATACTACCTCTTCAATCATGGCTCAATCACATAGGCTATCAATTCTCAATGATTCTCTACATTATGTGTATTTACGTTTTATTAGTTTTTTCCGTAAGAGTTAAATAGGGAACATTAGGACTCACTTGTATATATATGTAAGCTCGATGAATAATCAAATTGTCTCTTCACTCTCAACCTTCTTTATCACTTTATTAATATTTATATAAAATCTCAATTATTCATCTTCTTATTTTCGATGGTTGAAATTTATCACGATTTTTAAAGTGAAAAAGTAATTATTTTTAATAAATATGAATAAATCTTAACTATAAAAAATAAAAAAATAAATTATTAAGATTTTATATGTGAAAAAATAATTATTTTTAATAAATGTGAATAAATC